TAAAGTAGCTGTCAAATTCTTGGAGAATTTTCTCTTATGCATGCGCTCGCACTAACTTCATTCGCGTGAGACTGTCAGATTTTCTTCTTAATATCCACCATGAGTATACGGGCTCGTTCCGCCACTCGCTTCCTTCTCAACGCGTCCATCGACTAATAATTAAAACACGCGCGCTGTCGCGTGCAAATATTTCATGCATCCTTATCGCGATGCGGGGGACACTTAGTTGATACACGCGCGCTATCTAACCGCCAATCGAATCAAATAAATAAAGTATGCACGCCCCCGTGTTGGAAAATTTTTCGTGTTTCTTATCCTTAAATGGACGCGTCGTCGGGACCGTCCTATACTTACTCCAGCTGCGTAAACAAACGACGTGGAAAGCAATTTCATCGATTCCGCGACGTCTCCAGGAGGGAAGAAAAAGCAAAGAAAGAAAGAGAGAGCGCAAGAGAGAAAGAGAGAGAGAGAGCGAGACGCTCGTTATCAGAAGGAGGACTGGCAGTCATTTTGTGGAAGTTTGCACGACATTCTCCGTGTCGCGAGCTAAGAAGATGAAGAATTCACGGGAAAACACGCCAGCATGAGCCCGTGTGTGCGCGCCTGCGTCGAGAGACGCGCAACGCGATTTATTGGATGAAATGCAAATTGAATCGTAGTTAGCGAGAGTACCGAGAAACGACGCGAGTAAATCGCGCCTCCATCCCCCCTCCCTTTTCGCCCCCGTCCCGTTACTGCTCCTTTCCGATCCTTCTCGCCGTTGCTGCCGTCGTTGCTCTTCTTGGCCGCGCCTGCTCGCGATTCCCCGTGTTCTCTCTCCGATAATTCGCACATAAATTCACGACAAATTGAAATAAAAACTAGGTCGATCGAAATGCTATTTACCCGAATGCGCGCGCCAAGAAGGAGCCCGCGAGATCGTTTAGTACGGTCGAGAGGCAATCGCGCGCGCGGTGCGATTTTCCCCCGTGTCGGTTAATTGCCTACTTTGCATCTGTTTCTGATTATCTCGCGGGGGCGAGACGGTCGTTACCGGATCGTCGACTCCGCTTTTCCTTCGCCGGGCTGCTTCGTATTCGCGTCGGCGAATCCTCGTGCGAGAAAGGTCTCGGGAGAGGCCTCGGCTCCAGGCATTCCCGATGCTCGTACGCGCGGCGCATTATTTCACGTTAGAATTTCGCGCACGCGGCCAAATTGATCGCTCGTTACGCGGTGAGCGTCATGCCGCCTTTAAAAGCGGCTAAATCACCTTTTATCCTCGCACGTCTATTGACAGAACACACGCGTTACAAATGAACCGCGAAAATTCCTATATGCCAGCTTTCAGAGACGATTATTCGCCGCGAATGAAAGCAGCGCGCGAATAGAATCGCCATGGTTCTTGTGAACTTAGAAACAAAAAAGGAAATAAATACGTACAGGCTGTCAATTTGACAATTTGACAATTTGACGTTTTGTGCAGGTAGAACTTATCAAACTCAACACAAAATTCTTCTACCATTTCATAAGCAAGCACGTAAAATTGTGCGTTATTGATTAAAGAAGATTGGTGCATGATCATCCGCGATAATGCGCTAATCTTCTTTAATTAATAACCAACCATCTACGTGGTTGCTCGCAGAGTGGTAGAGACTTTTTCGTTCAGTTTGACTTAACGTACAAGCACACGATGGTCGACGTCGCCGTCACAGCTCATCCATCTACCGTATCGCGTGTCATCATTCATCTTCTTTTAATACATTAATAGATTAATAACTCAAAATTGTACGTGGTTGTTTGCGAAATGGTGCAGAAATTTTATATTCACTTTGATGAGTCATTTCTACCTGCATGCAATGGGTGTGCCCTGAATTGTCAGACACCCCGTATATCGCTATCTTTTTCAGAGCACACACACACACACACACACATACACACGTATACTGTGTTCCACGATAAATCTACCTCTGCCTTTTGCCGTGTGTTCCTCCCCCATCCCTCGCTGCGTCCCCCCGCGGCATATATTTCTGTTCTGTCGCTCACAGACACAAAGTCGCCGGGAACTTTTGCGGCGTCTCGCTTTAATGCAGTGTAGATTCACGTTCATTATACGCCAGATGCTTCATTACCGCCACCGGCTTTCGCCGATAGATAACGGGGGCGCCGCGAATTTACAAATCGCGCGTATAACGGTGCCTCACGATGTAAACGATGTAAACGAGCGATATCCGACGCGAACAGCAACTTGCCCGCCGCGAGTTCGTACGAAAAACGCACTTTGCGATCGAGACACGGCAGACTTTCGCGAGATCCGCGGTTTCGCGTCTCTCGCGCGCGTGTGATCTTTGCAGCGAGCCTCTGCACGGTCGAGCGCGTGCGCGATACGTCCAAAGCGACGTAATAACATATTATGTTCGCGAGCCGCGTCCGTCAGCGTGATGAATTACGCTACCCGATAGTTAATACAAGGCTGCAATAAGAGTTAATCAAATATTGACACCGCGGGTGCGCAAATACAGCATAGACGTGGCGACGTGCGCGTTTTGTCATGAACGCGGTGCTCTCGCTCGCGGGATATCTCTATACGCGTCATTCGACTTTCCGACAGATTGATTTGTATCCACTGTTTACGGGGAGTTGGGGGACAGCAGCAGGGAGAAAAAGAGCGCCGTTTATTTGTCGCGATGTGTAAATTTGCCGGCGTGCGTGCGCGATTCAAGTGGACACTTTCGTCAAGTCGGTAAATACAAAATAGAATAAAGGAAAAAAAACGAGGCGAAAAAAGAAGGGAAAATAGCCAATTGATACAACAATGTCGAGGATCGCGACGGAGCAAACTACTGCTACTATTACTGCGACTACTACTACTACTGCTACCACCACTGCTATTCCTAGTCGGTCTACCGAAAATATTGAATATTGTAACGAGCGTTACAATAGTTATAATCACTTTCAGTCAATTAAAGTGCGCGATGAAGATTGGAAAGCGTCAGGCGCACAATACACGGCCGGCGAACGATAACAACGTTCACATACGTCGCGCGCGTGCGGCGGAAGTCCATTTTATAATTACTTTATTTAAACTTTCGCGCAAAGCCCCGGGGAAGTTCGAAAATCCGCGCGTGGCACTCATTTAATTGAACGCGAAACAATGTGGGGCGCAATTGCGCGCGACCATGTCGAGGGCCGGAGTAGACGGAGTAATGCTGTTATAATCGAGGATACGCGCGCTAATGGCGCATTGCATTAATTGGACGGCTCCGTGGCGTTTCTCGTCTCGCTCATCGGCGCGACCCGCAGAGATCGCGCGGAACGTTCGGGAAAAAGTGTCCCCGCAGAGCGGAGAAGCTACGAGAGGTGGGAAGAACGATCGATCGCGATTCGTCGATGTTCAACCTCGCGCTAATTAAATCGCAAATTAAAGCCACGCGTTGGTCCCGCGAAATCAACCGGGGGAAGGAAGAAGAGCGAGACGAAGGAAACACACAAAAATATTAAACATATCTCGTGGAGAGGAAAGGCTTGTGACAATTCGACTAGTCGTAATTACGGCGATGTTGCGGGTTTACCAATATTTGTAATCCGCATATTTACCGATATTTCAGCGTTTCGAATATCGATATCAATATTCTCCATTCCCGTTCTCTCTTTTCCCCTGACTCTGTACGTGGCATCCTGTGACTATTAACTTACACACACGGTTAATATTTATTTTCAAATGTATAAAAGTTATTCTCGAAAACATATTGACTGGATGAAACGAGCGTCGGAGCTCTGCAAGCTTCAAAAGATGCCGAGTGATTGAATATGCCGCGTTAAATTACCTGGCATATTAAATAATATTCATTAAATAAAGTTATAATTTATTCGTGATATAAGCATATATATTTGCATATAATTTAAAGAACGACAGAAATCGACGCGTGGATATTAGCAGGTAAATCGGAGTTCCATTTGATATTCGGATCATAAACAAATAAGTAAATGCATAAACAAACAACTGTTCGAATAACCAATATTGAATAATAGACAAATAAACGATCAAACGTTTCAATTGCGAGCTCGGTTTGAGCTGTCGACGGCCGCGTATCCAATTCAGCAGGTGCGACTACGCCCTGTAACGATTGCGGGACAAGAAATGCGAGACTGAGAGGAAAATTCGACGTGATAATAATTGCGCGAGGGAAATACGCATGAGCCGAATACTTCCCCAGAACGGAGGTGTTCAGTAGTGCGATTCTGTGACTCGTTAATTGTCGTTAACGAGTTGTCGTGTTATAACGTTGCGCAGATGACCCAGTATATGCCAGAAAAAAATATGTAACGATACACAGCGCTAGTGATATTGTCGTTAACCCTACAGTCGCGCTACTTTTCGAACACGAGTCGACACATGGGATCTTGAGAGACCCCAATATGAAAAATTAATTTGTATCTTTTATATTGAGAACTTAAATATTTTCTTTGTTTAATTAGGTTTTTGAGTTCATACAAAATATAAGGAAAGACTATTTTGGATATAATATTCTCTTAAAGACCCGTCATGCGACGACTGTAGGGTTAACGACAGTAAACGAGTTACGGAGTCGCACCCCTGGTCGAGGGCACGCGCGACGATCGGCTTAATTTCAATCGCTGCGAACCGCGTGCTTGCGTGATGCCGCTGGCATCTTCACGCTCCACATGTCGAAGGCACGCCACGAGAATTCGCGGACCGAACGGAAACGCACGGATTCGAGCGCGCATTCGGAGATCGATACGTCGCATTCCGTTCTAATAACACCGCCGGTGTGTCCCGATAGTTCGACTGATTACTCATTAAGGCGGAGATTACTCGTTGCGGTGAGAATACGGCGACTCTCAGCAAAAAATATTCATTGACGTGAGAAAAAGTAGGAGGTGGAGAGCGATATCGACCGGTGTCGCTCGTGATTTAGTTCTTGCGAACGCGGACGAGATGTTTGTGACAATTGCGGGCGGACTGATTTATTCGAGACTTGCGTCTAAAGCTTCTCACTTACCTTGCGGTCACGTACGAGGGGCAAATACGCATCTCCGTCGATTCGCTCTCTGACCTGCAAACAAAGAAAACGAAGATATGATACGACGGTATTACTAAAATATGACGAACAATTGTGTACGGAAAGAATGTTGTAATTCTCTCTCCTTCTTCTCACTCTGAGAGAAAGAATATTTAACAAATAAGAAATGTTAATTTTCGGTGAATATTAATAAAGCATTTACTTTAACTTAAACTCTTTTATTTAAATAAAATAAACAATTGCTTTCAGAAGAAGCTAAAGCTTCAAGAAAATGTACATTGTTTTATTTGAAAAATACATTTTGTATTTGCACAATATGTTATTGGTACTCACCAAATAAAGATCCTTTTTTCTTAAATATTTTTCTCTCTCATTGCATGCATTCTTTTTTATTTTATTATGTTTCTACTAGTAGAACGCAGAGATAGACTGCCAATAAAGTCTATCTTTCTGTGGAATATTGGAATTTTTTTGACAATATATTTCAGTTTGTAAAATATAAATAACATGTACGAAATAAAAGAATAATAAATTATTGCAGAATGTCAATTCTGGTTCGTTCACTAGAAACTCAGTAGAGCCAACCAAATTTTCCATGTATTTTCCATGTATATTATACACAGAAAAGATTTGATTGGAATAATCAAATATCTGGAGAAATATGAACGAACTAGAATTTACTAGAAAACCCCGATTAAAATTATCAGAATCTTGTTCAAGTTAACAAGATTTTGGTTAACCAGAAATCTTGTTTGGTCGATTAGAATCTTGTTAACTTGAACAGAACTCTGATAAGTTGAAATGAAATTCTGATTCGTTCAGATATTTCGTTAATTCTACCAAATTATTTTTCCCTTGTACACACATGGCACGTAATATGGCACAGTAAACGCTCGGTCTGCGGATGCTCGATAGAACGTTGTTATCGCCGAGCTTTCTCGACTTTCTTCGGCTAAACGAGTTCAGGCTCGATCTCGACCTTTTAATCGTTTTGATACTGAAAGATGTACAAGCGAGACCGATTTATCGGCGCGCATGATACAGTTTCAACTGGTCGTGGTGAAATGGTAAAAACAGGTACAGGGACTCGAGTTTAATTCGCGATCTGGCATTTTCAGCATTTAAATTCCGCGTTTGGTCGCAATAACGCCGGACGAACCGGAAGCACAATAAGTGACGCCAGATGCTGCACAGCAGTAATAAGGGACGAATATCTTTACTCCACTCCTGAAGGAACCACGGCGAAATCTCCCCCCTCCTCTCTCTCGATCTAATTCCACCCGGTAGGCAAGCTGCGACGCTCCAATTAGCAAATTCTTGCCAACCGGCACGAATTAACAAATTCTCGCACGCAATCTTGCGCCAAATGTCGCCCGACAAGGCCCGACGACAACGGCTCGCGATACATTTTAATTCGATGTCCGTGTTTCTTTCCACCAAGCGTGTAACATAAACACTGAACGCGCAGCAGAAGTCGGGAAAGGCCGTCGTCTGACCGACTCGCCCTTTTACACTTACACCATCAGCTACGCGAGCACCGAAAATACAATTATAAATAAAATATCTTGAAATAAATAAAAAACGTTGGATTTTTTAACTTTTGACATACAAATAAATGAGCAATGTTAATGAAGAAAATGAAAAAGAAATAAATTAATCAGAAATACGATTATATTAACAACATGAAGATAAATCATCGTATTATAACATAGATAACATTCCTTGACTTGATTATTTGATTTGTCTTGACATGAAACTAAATAAATTACACAACGTTGAACTAATAATAAATATTAACGGAAAAAAATAAGTAGCAGAAAATAAAATAAAAATAGACAATAAATAATAACAGGGCCATAACAAGAGCATAATTCATATTTTGGTACACGAGGATCTTGTAAAATAACGAATTAATAAATTAATATTAAATAATGATTCAACGTGGTCTCTCTCGTGGACATTTATTCCATGAAATCCCTTCGACTTTCTCGCTCGAACGAATAACACGAACGACCGACTCGACATTGTCCTCGATATGCCTTTATATTAAAATTGTTACGCTGCGAAGTATATACGCGATAATTTCACCATTATTAACGATATATTATTATAATTATTTTTTTAAATAACAGACGCACCTGTTCGCATACACAGAATCGTCTACTGCAAAAACTGAAATTAACAATTTGGACAATTTCGGATTTCGGGTTTATATTGAACAACGATCGGATATCATGTATCAAATCGGCCGGATTTCGGATACAGCTTTCAGGGTGCATTTAGAAAGGGATTTTCTCAAGAACTTGCATAGATGAGCAGCAGCCGCTTAGCGTAAGAGCGCATGCGCACTTGTGTGTATGTGCGCGCGCGCGATAAGTTATTCAAAGCTCACAAATGCAACGGGGTGAATGCGACAGCAGTAAACTAGGAATATTAATCGCGTGAACTTAATATTTCATGAGATAGAATGTGTCGACTGCATTCCTATTTGAATATGCTCCTGTAATGAATTCTGGATTTTTGGTATGCAAATTGACCGCCGGACGACGTCGACTAACGACAATGAGGCGGTTCTGTGCCTCCACTATGAAATTCAATCCACTCCCGCGAATTCGAATTTATTATTATTCCTAATATTTATTATTATTATCCACGCTTACGTGATTCTTAAGCATACTATACGAGTTTCTTGTGCACGCAGAGGCATGCGAATTGACTCATCACTCGATATGTCTCAAGGAAAATCCTCGTCCCCGCTTCGGCCGTCTACCCCCTCTCGTCTTCGATCTCGTTAGTTCTTGTCTGACCTCGACGAAATTTTGCGGTGGATAGGGAACAGGCATCGGTCGCGAAAAAAGAAAGGATGAAAAGGGAACGAGCGCTGTTAAAGTTTCGTGTGCATGTCTGATGGCTCGTCGAAATGGAACGTTCGATGTAATATAATCGTCGTGTTTGCGCCCAGAGTTCTACTGCCGATCCCCCTCCCCCCGCTCGCTCTCTCTTCCACCCGTCGTGCGTTCACCCGTTCGCGTTCTCTTCGGCGCCTCCCTCCGTCCGTTCTTCAGCATCCACACGACCGCCAGAGAACGGGTCGTGAGATTGAGAGCGAAACTTTTTAACTATTCCCAACGTACGCTCGCTCCTCGTGGCCGATAGAGCGGCGGTGGGACGGGCGGGATAGGAGGTGAAAGGAGAAATAACAAGAAGAAGATGAAGAAGAAGTGGAGGACGAAGAAGCTGAAGATGAGCAAGGAGAGAAGGAGGCAAGAAAGGTCGGCCTAGCCTCATGACCCTCATATCCCGGCGGATGATAATAGCATCTCTCCCGTCATGCCGCGAGGATGAGAAACACGACGACGTCAAAAGTGCCTTCCAATCCTCGTGCCGTTCTCTCTTCGCCAAGACCAATCCCACGACTCGCCGCACGGCGGGAGAACCCGCCGTTCCAAAAAAGGATCTAATAGTCGTCTGACCTGGAAGCTGGGGATTTCGCGGGAGCGGGATGCGAACAAATTCCGCGAGCTTCACCACGACGTTGAGGCATGCCGCTCGGGTCATAAGAGTCGCGCGGCGGATCCACTACGCTCGTCATGAACTTACGCCATCGTGATTACTTGGACTCGTGATCAGAGGTCTTCGGAGATCCCAAGTCGCCGACCGACCCGGTTTTAACTACAGAACGAGGATCAGGAGTCGCGCTACGTCGTCGGCGGATTGTGAGAAAATGGCGGGAATGGTCTAAATAAAGCTCGCCTTGTGCCACGAGTTACGAATGTTGGCCACGGCTGGTAAATTAATTTTGATACAAACACACACGAGCACGCGCGCGCAAACATACACGCGATACACGACGTGTAACATCGATCGCGGGGAACGTGTGCGGAATTGTCAGCGTGATAATATAGACATATTATCAATGAACTAGTTGGTTACCGGCGTGTGTATGACAATCCATCCGTTTCAATCAATGAGGACGTCCGTCCAAAGTAACGGATCGCGCGTGCTGCGTACTTGAAATTTTTCTAGGGTCAACTAACGTCAGTTTGTTCGGACAGATGACATCTCCGTTATCGACGCCATTGTAACACTCATTTTCCGAACCTCTCTCTTTCCCTCTCTCTCTCTCTCTCTCTCTCTCTCTCTCTCTCTCTCTTTCTATCTCTTTCCCTCGAGCGATGCGCAGCGACCGCACGCATGCAAGCGGAAGACTGTCAATTCAGTCAATACCGGCCGCGCAGCAACGAAACGCATTACTTAATCTAGCGACATGTCTCCATGCGAGGGTCTCCATTTAGAGCGCTCGATGATGCAGCCAAATTCGCGCATGCTTGCGCGATAAACGATCTCGTTTTTCCCGCAACGGGTTGCAGTTCAAAGTGTCTTTTTCGAGGAAAATTTTAAAATGCATGAGAATCCATGGTATATATGACGTGAAATATAGGTGTTCAGTAAAATTTTCCCCCGAAAGAACGTGTTTTCGAGTACAACCGTGGACGATAAAATTAACGAGACGCGGGGTGAAATTCAAAGAACGTCTCTGTATTATTGTTTATTTCCAAAAAATCTCCAATGAATGTTTCGACAAGCGTGCCGGGACGTTTCGGAAATTAATTGACGAATGCAAAAATTAATTGACGGGCTTTGATGCGTCATATTTAACAAAACAATGTTTAACGTCTTTCGCGATTCAACGTGCGCTTTCCTGTTGCAATCCTTTTTCGCGCGAGTTTCAAATTTGCGAAAACAAGCTCAAGAGAAAGAGAGAAAAAGGAAACGGAGGACGAACGAGACTGTTACCGTCAGTTCGAAAGCCGAGGCTTCATTGTCTGTTAGGCGCAGCACCAGGAGGTCTCGCGGCGCGTTCGTGAGCACGAAGGGTCAGTAGCCTCGGGCGTGTTTGCAACGAGCCGCTCCGTGGCCTCGCAAACTGGTTTAGCAAAAGTCAAGATCTAGATCGCGACCTTCTTGCAGCCGCTCGCGTTCCTCGCGAGCTCGCGACGGCACGTAACGAAGCGTCATAATAGCAATATGAG